CTACCTTCCCCACGCAGCACAGCACCTCTACCCCACCACACACACAACACCCCTGCCTCCAACACACACACAGCACCCCTACCCAACACACAGACAGCACCCCTGCCCCCCACAGCACAGCACCCCTACTCCCACATAGCACAGCACCCCTAGCCCTGCCCAGCACCCCTACCCTCCATGCAGCACAGCACCCCTACCTCCCCACGCAGCACAGCACCCCTACCTCCTCACACAGAACAGCACCCCTCACACAAACACACACACAGCACTCCTCAAACACACACAGCACCCCTCACAGAGACACACACAGCACCCCTCACACACAGCACACCACACACAAAACACATACACTGCACCCCTCAAGGCAGTATGTGTGTGTGTGTTCAGCAGTCTGTGTGTGCGTGTATTCAGCAGTCTGTGTATGTGTGTATGTGTTCAGCAGTCTGTGTGTATTCAGCAGTCTGTGTTACTCCGCAGTGTGTGTATTCAGTGGACTGTGTGTGTGTATTCAGTGGACTGTGTGTGTGTATTCAGCAGACTGTGTGTGTATGTATTCAGCAGACTGTGTGTGTGTACTCAGCAGTCTGTATGTGTATTCAGCAGACTGTGTGTGTGTGTGTGTGTGTGTATGTATTCAGCAGTCTATGTATTCTGCAGTCTGTGTGTGTATGTATTGCATTTGTTGGAGATACTAATAAATATAAGCTTAATTTTATCCATTATTTAAAATTTGTATAATCTAACTCTCTGTTGTTGTGTTCTTTTAAAACAAAAGTTATTAATTAGTTTGGACAACTGTACGAGTTATTTTTTCTAAACTTAAACCTCTGTATTCAGGTTTAATTGCCGTGTTGGCACTTTGAGGGGAAAAAAATTGGCATGTATTGCGGTTTGGGCACTCGGGCTCAAAAACGTTTGCCATCACTGGTGTAGGGTATGTACTGTCTATTTTTGTTTAATCTACTGTCATGTTTCTATACTTGTTGGGGTGGCATACATGGCGAATAAATGCATATGGTTTATCAAGTTCCTAAATTCCTGCTTTTGATATAAGTTGCAAATATAATTTGCTTTGAAGAGATTTAACATTCAGGAATATTAAAGTTTAAAATTCAATTTTCAAATTGTTACAATTCACTGGTTAGTAAATATGTTTCCCTCTTTTGGGAATTTTCTGGGCAAATCTGGAATTGTTAATCACCCACTCTGCTAAAAATGAAACATTTCAATATTATTTTAAATCTAATGAAAGTATTGTATTTTCACTTCCAGAGGAGAAATGATGTGTCAGCCTCATATTCTGTATTACAGCAAAAATCAGGACAATGCAGACAATATCTAAAAGTTTATCCATTCATTAATGTTTCTTAACATGAAAAGCCATAGCACTGCAATGTACACAATTATTCCCAGTCAAAACGTGAAGCACAATATAAACTTGCACAACACAAATCATGTATTCAAAGGGGGAGAGAGCTGACACGTTCTTACATGATTCCTTTAAAAGGGTGTGTGCGCGCAGGACTTCCTTGAATATAACACTGTACTGTATTAAGAATCCATACACATCAAGCTACACCCTTAATGTACAGCACAGTGACTGACTGTGGGGTCGCTATGCCTTCCGGATTGTGAATGTGAAATCCATCTCGCTTTTTACCTTTTGGCCTCAGTAACTAAATGCTACAGCACTGCTTCCCAGGAAGGCTTGTTTAAAGCTCCAAACAGGGGAGAACAGAGGACATGCGCAGTGTTCACCCTCTTCTACACGCACAGGGAGACTGTAGTGGACTGATCTGGCACTACACCTGCAGCACCACAGCCAGAGGATAGCTCCACTCTGCACCAACACTCAGGTAACAGATACACAGCATCCACCCTTTTTATTTGTTACATTGTATCCTGTATCCTGTTAGCAGCATCCCTCGCCACCATCCTCACCCATGCCCTCTGATACTTGATTGCAGATCAAGGGCTGCAGGGATCTCTCTCCAGAAGGGGGGGTTTAAAAAAACAAACAGCACCGTCAAGATAAAGGCTGCCAGGAGGGATCCACATTGTGCGACTTCTGCAAACTTCCGGATACTTAAGAAGAGATAGAAATGGAAACCAAAGGTAAGGGCTGCGTTCTTTTTGGATACTTAAAGCATGTGTGCTGTGGGTAGGGAATAAGGGAGAGACTGCAGTGCATGGATGGACTACAGCGTGATGCTGGGTCGATATAGGAGAGTGTAATAGTGCACATTGCAGCATTGCCAGAGGATATGTCCTGGAGGACCTACCTAGCCTGAGCATCATGCATCTGCCTGTGTCATTGCTGTGTGGTATAGAGGCGAGGCACTGGGTTGTGCATCATTAATATATGCAGCTTGTCTGGGCAGGGTGCTGCTACCCACATACTGCTATATCCACGCTCTAGAATCCTCTCTGTCCTGAGCAGTTCCAATAATGAGATAAAAGTTCCCATTGTGTATCTGCTGTAAACCACTAGAATGAGTTCTAGCTGATATGTTGATTTAACTCTTTCCATGCCATGACAGCTAGATTTTATGAAGAAGCTACTACTGAGCTAAAAGTTCCCATTGTGTATCTGTTTGTAACCATTATAATGTGTCCTAGCTGATATGTTGATTTAACTCTTCCAATGCCATGATATCCATATTTTATGAAGAAGCCACTACTACTGAAACACTTTGTCAGAACAAGAGGTTTTACTCCAAAGTTGAGACCAAAACCAGCTTGAGTATGATGCTAGGGGAATCCTGATGTCCTGGCCTACATCTCACATGACACTAAGTTACTCGTTAAATCGAGTATTGTTAGGAATTCAAACAGAATTTCAAATGTTAGGATGCATTAGGCACACTGGAAATATTCTTAGTAAGCCCTGTTTTCCGTTCATATTTTTGGCTTAAATTTTGACATTCACTTTGAATTGCCGAAATGAATAAAGACACGTTATCTACAATTTTGGGCCTATTTAGCTGTAATAATGGGTCACCAGTTAAATATTTATTTTCAAGTATTTATAATTTGAGGTTTTGTTTACAACTTGAGTAATGAAAATTAGGATTTATAAGAATGAAATGTTTTTAATGTTTTGTATACATTATATATTTATCTTGCTGAAAATCTAGCCATTTATCTTGTTTAACATTTCCAGATTTCAGGTTTTCAGCATGCTGTATAATTTCAGTACTGAAGCTCACCCAAAACAAACCAGCATCCAACGTAATGATATTGTAGCTAAAGTAGGCAAGTTAAAGAAGAATTACATTTTAGGCGGCTCTCAAGGCACACATAATGCGTAATACTTTATATTTTCATTCGTTTAGCATGCATTGACCGGGGTAATTAGAAAAAAGTTGACTTTATTTGCAACTCCATTATAAAGTTTTGCTTGAGTACAGGACATTTTACCATTCATGATCGGCAACCTCAAGAAAAAGTGCAAGTTATTTCACTGTGTCACAGAGAAATATTATAATAATCAATTTTCACCAATATCACTATACAGTGAATGTTTAAGTGTTTGGTGGGAAAAAAGGTGAAATTATATATATATATATATATAAATATATAAACTTCCCTTCTAGTTGTGGATTATAACCCGAAGATCTCCTCAAATCTTTCACAAATATATAGTAATAAATAATTTTTATACTTTATCCATTCTTTCCTGTACTTCAATTTGGATGCATCTTTATTTTACATATTGCTGAGATCTACAAGATCAGCCATTGGAAGCAAGGAACTGCCTGAATGCTCCATTTGATTACTACATGCCCTACTTTATCAGTTAAAGTGTGAGTGACCAGTTGGCCATATAGTTACTATTTTTAGTGTTATACAGAATTGCACTATGTTCTCTTTTGTTTTCCTATAGTTGGATAAACCCTATTGTGTTTTGCCTATGTGATCAGAAATCTACAAGATCACATTTGGATTTAAAGGTCAACGTTATAGGAAGCTCCCCTCTTCCTAGGCCTCATACTGAGTCTTTTTTAAATAGTGTACCTTCGTTTACAGGGATATTCACTAACTTGAGTATTGTTGGGAATTCAAAGTACATTTGAAGTTTAAGGCCAAAGTAGCTGAACTTAAGTTTAGCTGACTCGGAGAATTTGTACTGGTCAGCTATTTTAGCCTTACATTTTTAAATTCACTTTGATGTCTGGACAATTCACATTTTAGTGAATAACTGTGTTTGTATTTCTTTGTGTGTGTGTCCTTCACCACACTTCTTTGAATTGTAAATGACAGCACTTAAACAAAAATAGGTGCATTAGAAATATAATTTTTTTTCTATATGATGTAATTTTCTCTCTTTTTTTTTTTATCAATGCAGCATGTTTATAGAAATGATGCAGAATACATATACTTCTATAATTCAATGTATATGAATCTATATATGAATTTCAGAGGCTGAAAGAGATGAAAAATATCTGAAACTTGTGTCAACTCTTTTGTTGTTGTTGAAGTGAATACATCACAAGCCTCTGCTCTTTAAGTAAAAAATGTAAATGAAACATATCTTCACCACCCACACAATATGTATAATGTCATTAAACAGTATACCACTCAAAATCAAATATACCTGTATCTTTACCTCCCACAGCATATGTATAATGGCATTGAATGTCTTTCAAAATCAAATAAAAGGTTCATTTCATTTTAAAAACTAATCTTACATTGCCGACGGCATTGTATTACTTGTTCAAATCCATTTGTGTTTTTTATATTCAGTATCAGATAGCTCTGTAATATTTTTGGATGTTTTTCAAATGACTGAAAAAAATTTGGATAAACTTTTTAAAATATTCTTTTTTTTAAATAGATTAACCTATACAAAAAAATAATCTAATTAAAAAAAATACATCAAACTATAAAAAATGTTGAAATATGTTAATAATAAATAATTTTACAAGTTTACACAAAAATATGAACTACTTTGAAAATATTATATATATATTAATTAATTATGAAATCAAGGCCAATGTTAGGTAAAGCAGTAGAAGATATTTTTTTTAATATTACAGACGTAATAAATACAAGGTGCTTTTAATAACTAGAGTGACTTTTTCCTTCTTTTAGCATGAGTTGAGAAATAATTTGGGAATAGAATGACACATGCTCCCCTCCCCCATACATAGAAGTAAAACCTTAACTCCTTGCTTCCATAGTTATCAAATCTGTGTATGTGCTATTAGAGTTAGGGTTGACTGTGCAAAAAGACATTGGCTGAAAGTTTGCCATGTTATTCTCACCGATGGGTAATTTGAACAGTTCTACAGTGATCTGCATGTTATATGCCAAATAATTTCAGTAGCGGTTGGCATTATTTCTGAAGACTTGCCTATTCTTTGTAACAGTTTGGGATGATAATGGATTGCTGATAATGCAAAGTAGAGACATTCTATCATTTTCTAGAGTGGATGATGCTTATTAAGCACATTGCCCCAGAATAGAACATGTTCCTTCCTTGATTAATCTACTCCAAGATACTTTCAGGCTAGAGTAGCCAAACTGAGAGCATAGCTGACAGAGAATGTTTCCATTTTCAGCTGTTTTGACCTTAAATTTGATCATCACTTTTAATTATTACTGTAGTAAATAACTTTGTACGTTTAGGACTTAAATAGAAGATATGAGCTTTAAAGGGATTCTCCAACTGCCATGACAACTTCAGTGAATTTAACTCCTTAAGGACACATGACATGTGTGACATGTCATGATTCCCTTTAATTCCAGAAGTTTGGTCCTTTAGGGGTTAAAGTCATGTGGTCATGGTGGTAGGAGTATGTAAATGCAGTGTTTATGCTTGAAACACCACACATACAGATATATCGGCAATTATTTTCTGGGGCTAGTTACAACCCCGCACATGTGACATTGGCACTCCAGAACTCTGGGCTGCGCAATGTAAATTCTCTACATATTTTAAGTCTGTCATCAGCACACACTTCATGCTGCCAAAGGACGTTAAAATCTTCCCCTTGCAGACAGAGCGCCTGCAAATGGAAGCTAGCTCTGCCCTTCTATCCTCCCTCCCTGTGGGTGCTGCCTCCACCTTCCTCCATTGCAGCTTTCTTTTTGATTTTTTTATTTAAATTACCCTCCCTCGCCTTCCCACTGCCTCTCTCCAACTCCCTCCCTCCCCTTTCCAGCGCGGAGGGCAAGCATGCGCTCTGAGCTGGCATTTTATCCAATCACAGGCTTCTCTACAAGAAGAGTGTGCTTGGATAGCACGGCCCTAGTGACATAAGGAGGGAGCGTGTAAGTCAGCTACAGGCTCTGGATTCAAGGTGAATAGTAAAACTTTTTTTCAGCTTTATTGTGATTGGAGCAGGGGCACCTTCTCTAGAGTACCCAAAAGGGCATTTTACACAGAAATGGCCCCTCTGGACCAAAGGGTTAAAGTTATAGTTGAACTTAGCAGAGAATGAAAAGCACTTAAGAAAGCATTTAAATAAAGGAGAAGGAGGAGGCTCTCATTAGCATTGAGAAAGGGCAGTTGCTCGAAACGTTTGCTGCATTAACTTTGTCCTCAAATAAATTGTGGTAGCACCTGGGTGTGCACACCTATACTGGATGCGCAGGACTCGTGTTTGTTTTTTGGTCTCATTTTAGTAAATAACAATATTAATGTGAATGTATGATTGTTAAAGCGAACCTGTTATGAATAATTTAACTTTCCTGAAATCTCCTCATGTACATTGAATACCAAAGATACATGGTGTATTCACTGTAAAATGTAAAGATTTACAATTTTTTCCTCAGTTTCCTTCATTCCAGTGCTACTTTGTAGGAGTTACTCTTTGCATAACCAGGGCCGTCTTTAACGCGGGGCAAATGGGGCCGCTGCCCTGGGCACAGTCACTCTGGGAGTCCCAAGGCAGCTGCCCTGTGGACCCTGCTGCCCTCATCTATATTTATCCCCCACACACTAATAAGGCATTTATCAGCAGGGGTCCGGTCGGGCGCTGTGGCCCTTTGACAGCACGACCCGGCCCCTTGCTTTTCTGCAGTGTTGGGAGGAAGTGACAGGCGCGCGCGTATTTTCCTCCCAGAGAAAACACAGAGCCGCGGAAAGACGGAGGGGGACTGGAGAGCCAGACCCTTACTACCAACAAACTCAGGCACTACACTGGACTCCAGGGAAGCCACCCTTCAGTAAAAGGTAGGAAACTGGAGGATGGGTTTAAAAAATTTAACTGTGTGTCTGTCTGTCTGTTTGTCAGTATGTCTATCAGTGTGTGTATGTCAATATGTCTGTGT